TCGTGTTGCGCATAGAGCTAAGCTTCCCTTGCCGCGTCTACTTCACTTTGCAGATTTGCTCTGCCGCGTGCTGATCCTCTTCTTTTGCCATGAGCAGAGCCACGCACAGGAAGTTTTTTGGCCAAGCTGCGTTGCACATATCAGGGCATTGGTGTCGGTGAGTACCAACTCAACTTATTTTGTTATTTTAGGGTTTCAGCAAAAATTCTAAAATTTAAACCCTATGATAGCCTTATTTTGCTCTGATGCCTTATTGATTTTTTGGAGAAAATAATAATATTATTTTTTATTCTTTAGGTTATTACATATAAGGTATTTATAGAATTCTTTACTTACTAATTGAGAAATAACTATAATACTAGAATTCTAATTGTATAATATTACTATTCTAGTAGAATTTTAATTATATTATCTTAATTAATTAAATAAGAAGTTAATAAAATAATTAAATAATAAAATATAGTAATAAACAAGTTCTTATCAGTCCTTGTTAACTTAAATACTATCACTATTCCCATTAGCTTATTTGAGGCATTTCCAATGAGAACTAGAAGCAAGCCATGAATATGAAAATGGAAGCATTTGAGAAAAACAAGACATGAGAGTTGGTAAAATTTTCGGTTGGAAAAACCAGGTGTGTAAGAATTGGTATGTGCAATAAAGTAAAAAGCAGATGAATCAATAGAAAATACAAGACAAGGCTGGTACCTGAAGTTTCCACTCAAACTTATAGAATTGGCTATCAAGAGACTTTTGTTCTAGTTGCAAAGACTTTAGTTGGGAATCGCAACATTTTGATGTCAAAAATGCATTTCTATATGGAGAACTAGAGGAAGAGATATATGTGGATATCCACCAGATTATGGAGGCAACTTGGCTAATATGTTTACATGCTTAAGAAGACCTTGTATGGACTTATGCAATTACCACAAGCATGTTTCAGTAGATTTGCAAGAGTTATGATGGCCATAGAACACAAGCAGAGCCACATAGATCACATACTATTCATCAAACACTCATCTTCTGGAAAAGTCACAATCCTTTTAATATACGGGGACGGCATAATAGTGACAAGATATGATAATGCAAGAAGACAATACCTAGACTAGTGCCTAGCCAAAGAATTCGAGATCAGCACGCTGGAATGTCTAAGTAGATTTTGCATTGAGGTAGTTCACTCTAAACAGACAAGAGAACATGCAAACTAAGAACTAACCCAATGGACCCGAGTATTAGGTTGATAAACACAGAAGAAGATGCAGAGGTAGACAAAGAAAGACACCAATGCTCAGTGAGAAGACTTATTTATTTGTCTTATATACAACCATATATGACCTATGGAGTAAGTGTGATCAGTCAGTTTATTCATAATCCAAGATAAATCCACTTATAGGCTGAGTGTTGCAGTACCTTAAAAACAAATAAGGTAATATATTCTCTTCAAAAGAGTTGGAGGTTTAATTATTGATGTGTATATAGGTGCCAAGTGTCTTGGATCATCATTGATGTGAAATCAACCATTGGATATTGTACATTTCTTGGTGGTAATATGGTGACTTGGAGAAGTAAAAAAAAAAAAACAAAGTATGGTAGCATGGTTAAGTGCGAAAACAAAATTCCGGGCAATAGCCCAGGGTGCTTATGAACTACTATGGATGAAGTTCATCCTAGAAGATTTAAAGATTAAATGATGTGGTCCAATGAAGCTCTAGTGTGATAATAAGTTTGTCATCAAGATAGCCAACATTTAGAAAAGCATGGTCAGACAAAATATATTGAAGTTGACAGACATTTCATCAAATAAAAATCAGAAAGTGGGTTTATCTATACATTATTATTCCTACACATGGTCAACTGACTTATGTGTTTACTAAAGGATTGAGTAGCGTAGTGTTTTAGAAATTTCAAGTTGAGAAACTGTGAAAAGAAAAGTGTATATATATTTTCCTTTTGTATTTAATTAAATTAGGATCCTATTAATGGTGGAATATCCTATAAATTACCCTATAAATTACGTGATTCCAAAATATTTATAAATCTATGATAGACAATATAAATGTCTAAAATCTCGTGAAACTATTCAATAAGAAATATAGTTTTCTTTGCTGATTTGCTACTTTGATGTATTTCTTTTTCTTGTCATTTTTTAGGAAGGACTTCTTACCTTTGGTTATGTACTTTTGATTCCTTTTTCAAAAATTTTCTTTTTTTATAGAAAAAGAAAAATGTCTTGCATCACGTAGTTAATGACTTTAACATGGAGATTAACATTTTAAATTGTTTTATTATGATCAATGTCGTATAAATTTAATAGTGAATTCCAGTACAAAACTTGAATCTAAGCATCAAGAATAATTTTTTTACTTGGACAATAGTAATAAGATCTTAATAGTGGTAATAAGTTTAATAATAGTGTCATATATATTTTTCTTTTGAAATACAAAGTGTAAAGAAGTAGTGCCATATTTGATTAAAATGCTTTTTGTCCCATGACCTAAATTGTTGATACTTTGTTGGTGGATTTGGAATGACATAATATTGTCTTGAGGGATATTATTTATATATACAATGACCTAAAGTGCACTGTCAAACGTAGTTGCTAATTTCTCCACATTAATGAATCAGGAAGCAATTGCTGGCAAATGCAATGTTGTTTGCATTGCGAAGGACGTTAGAAATCCACAACCCTCTGATGAAGAAATTCAAATGGCGGATTTTGTTTTTTACCGTACATTTGATGTTGGGAAATGTAAAGTTGTGGACAAGGTGGATGAAAAGATTGCTGGGATTGAAGGTATGTGCTTCTTCTCTTTCTAAACTTTACATGGCTGCTTTAGTTGGCTGTTGACTTGATTTCACACTTTTTGTTTTCTGTCTTTCTTTACTTTTTGCAGTTAAATTTCTATTCAACAAAGTGGATTCTTGGAAATCAGTAGGTTTTCTGAAAATTGATTCAAATGACAAAGAAGTTTGTGGAAATGATGTAGAAAATCTGTCATTGAAACCACCCAAATCAAATGAATATGGAGAACACAAAAATCTTACAACTGATAACTCTATCAATAATTTTCCAAGGCAGAATGAACATTGGAATGCTTCATTAAGTAAACAAAAATCTCCACTTGAAGAGAAGAAAGGCTTGGAAGTGGCATTGGTTAAGCATATTCCAGCACTGGGAGAAAAACCCCCTTCTAATGCGGGTTTTAATTCGTGTGGAGTAGGTAAAATTAGTGAGAGGCAGGACATGGTTTCAGGTGATGAAAAGGGAAGTGAAGATATTAAGGTTCTAATGGCTAAACGAGAAGTGTCGGTCCAACTAAACAACCTTGACAATAAGATTGGATCAAGATCCAAACCTGAGTTTGATGAAAGGCAAAGCAAAGCTGGGAAACCTCGTACTTCAGTTGAAGCAAGTGGAAAAATGAAATCCAAAGATGATCCTAGTGAATTGGACAATAGGCTTCTTAAGAAAGCGAAGCTTGAAGGTGCTGTTAAAGTATTAGACCACAAAGGAAAGAACATTGTGCAGAATTTGGGCAATATTTTTGAAACCAAGGGTGGAAAGGTTGTAGGCTTTGATGTTGTTCCTCGAGATAAATCTAAACTAGCAAAGGATCCTCATGAGACCTTGAAAGGTCCTTCTAAGAAGCCAAAGTTAGATGATGACGTTGCTATGCTTGGCGATGGCAAGTTGCCTAAAGCATCTCTTAGACAACATCCAAATGAGGAGAGTAAACTTGTTCAAGTATCGGAAGGAAATCGGAGGCCAAATGTTGTAAGTTGCATGGCATCACATCACATTGCATTGATTCTTTTCTTTTCCATATATCAATGCAGTTAATACCTTGAGTTCCAATATCTTACATGCTTAAAAGTATATGTGCAATTTTTTCCATCATTTTGCGTGCTATTTATGGCCCAAACATATCTACACATCTTTTATATGCACGTAACTTAAAATCTAAATATTCTTATCTGCTCCTCTTGTTCTTTTGATTATTCTTTTTTCTTACATTTTTTTTTCCTTGGAACGTGGAATGACTGATTTATTATGTTCACAAATGCATTTGTTATTCATCAGGTTGTTGGAATTATGCCTATTAAACATTGAATGTATAGGTTTATGGGGTATGCATGCATGCATGTATTGATAGTAATGCTCTTAATATTTTAAGAAATAGTTGTAAGCCCTACATATTTGTCTCTCATGGGAAAGATTTGGTTGAGAGTTTTGATTCTTACAATTTTTTTATGTTGTTGACAGGATAGAAGCAAATGGTTTATAGGACTTGTGAGTATATCTTTATCTCTTATTATATGCTTGTATTTTATTTGCATTATTATTATTGTTATTATTTTGTTTTCTTTAAAATTTTATGTACAAGTTACATCATTGTGCGATTACGATGTAACATAAATGGAAAAAAAAATTGATATTGCACTCAGGTGAGTAGTTTCATGAAGTCAACAACCATCATATTAGAGGACCATTAAATCAAAGTGTAATGCATGTAGATTATACCTACAATGAAAAGGATATGGGAATTCCTTTCTATTAAAGGCTCTCCTTCTGATAGAGGAATCGTGAGATTCCACATAAATACTTGTTTTACAGGAACACTAAACACATACATGAATATTTGAAGCACAGTCTAATAGTAAGTAGGCGTGAAGATGATTGTGTAGATTCCCAGCTAACTCATCTCACCTCGTGCCATGATGGGGCGAGTAACTGGGTATTGAATAGTGGGGCGAGTACAGATAAAGAAAATTCTTCCCACTGTGTATGGGTAGGTACGAGCTGATTATGTGTAGAACCTAAAGGACTAGACAACAGGTAATACCTTCCATTTGCTCACCCAATCTATCTCAAGGTTGGCATTACTGGTAAGCAAAGTAGAGCCATTTAAGATTTAAACTATGTTTATGATGTGTTACTTCCGCCACACTGGGTGATAATTTATCAATCAGTCTTAGATATCAACACCTCATTCTTGTGCACCAACCTTGAAGCATCAAGGAAGATTTTTCTTTGCTCTTTAGATCATTCCATTAAGTTTTTCAACCATGAAAATGTCACGTTCTCTTAATGCACTTGAAGAGTGGAATAAACATGATAGCTATATTTTCGTCGTCCCAACCTTACCTTTATTTGTATTCTCAAAGGATGTGATATTTAGTTCTTTAAGTCGTGATTTACTAGATTACCATTGCAAGCATGGCATCCGTTGTATCAAACTTATCTAGAAGTCCTTTGAACCAATAATGTATCTTCCATTTTTCCTATGTAATATCATTGGGATCTTTAAATTATTGGCATGGCGTGAAGTTTTTGTTTGTATCTTATTGGTAATTGCAATAACCTATTTGGCTTAGCACTTGCCAATTGCACCCCCTCTTGTCTTGAATCACCTTGAGTGAATGATACTCTTAAGACCATTAGATTGAATATCTTCTTGTTGTAGCCTTTAACCAGTTTGGAAAAAAGTCCCAAATGAATTTTTGATAAAAAAGGTCCCAAAATGAACTGAGCATGCACTTGTTAACAATTTGTGATGGCTCACCCTCCTTGTAGTATGGCATCCTTTAGTCTTGATTCATTGTCTTGAACCACGTAGTTTTATATTGATGGCAAGTCAAGGATTTTAAAATCAGTGTCTTGTTTATATTTCTCTGAGTGACAAGGTACATAATTGGAAACTTAATTAATGAAAATTTGTAATAGAATAAGAATGATATTGTACGACGAGCATGGATAGAAGCTGTGGACTAATATTATCTCAATCATGTTTAGCCTTGGGAAGAGAGGATGCGAGCTGCGGATGAGCAAGGGAGACTTGTTTTGCTTCAAAATTTGGATCCGACTTACACATCTGATGAAGTTGAGGTAATACTCAGTGTAGATGGTTGTTTCCTGCATGCCGGGAAACCTTGATGAATGGTTTTAGAGTTATTTTAAAACTTTGGATTTCCATTTTTTTTTCTTGTGTTCTACTCCTAGCTTGCATATTCTTCTAAGAATTTACATATACATTTCAGGAAATAATCTGGTGTGGTTTTAATGAAACTTGCACGGCGAAGATGATTCAACAAACGTTATTTTCCAATCCTCATTATGGTATGTAATGAGAGATAAATAAGTGCTAAATTTTTAAAGCTATTGCCTCTTTTATTCGATTTGGTGTCATGAAACGAAGTCATCATAAAATCGATGTTCTTTTATGGATGGGTTTTGGGGAAAAGTGGATTTTGGGAGTTTGTTGATTATGTAGTGAGGAGGTTTGGTTTTAGGGAAAAATTGAGAAAAGGGATGCGTACTTGCATGACTTCTACTTGTTCTGCAGTGCTAGTGAATGAGACTGCTTCATCTTTTTTCAACACAACTAGAGGCCTGTGGCAGGGTTATCCAATATCACCACTATTGGTCATTGGGATGAAGGAGGCCTTGAACAAGCTGATGTTGAGAGCCATAGATATGGAATTGATTAGGGGTGACGGTGGCAAAGAATGATAGTCTAATGGAAATAATCTATTTTTTTTTTGTAGATGACACTCTAATATTTTGCCAGTCGGATGAGAAGATGATACTCAATCCTAGGTGTGTTCTTTTGTGCTTTTAAGTGGTTTCAGGTCTAATATTAATTTGAGTAAGTAAAAAATGGTGAAGTTGGAAGATAGGAGAGATAATGGGAGGTTGGCAAGTATTTTGGGTTACAGTACTGTGGAGTTACCGATTAAATATCTTGGCCTCCCATTAGGTTCGAAATACGAAGACGAGAGGATATGGGAGCTGGTGATCGAGATGTTTGTGAGGAGATTGGCAGACTGGAAGAGAAAGTTTTTGTCTAAAGGGGGTAGATCAACATTTATTAAGAGTACATTGAATAGTCTTCCTGGTTGCTATTTATTAGTATTAACAATTCTCATGAAAGTGGCAAAGAGATTAGAGGCAATTCAACGGAAATTCCTGTGGGGTGATGAAGAGGGAATGAGAAAATACCACTTGGTGAAATGAGAAATGGTTATGCATTAAGATCATTTGTTGAGATGAATCTTGTGTTGCAAGGGAAATGGTTATAGAGGTATTTGTGGGAAGGTGATAGGTTATGGAGAAGAGTGATAGATGCGAAATGGGGGACTTGGGATATGGGTGGGGTCAACAGAGAGTATTCTAGATCTCATGGGGTGGGGATGTGGTGGAAAATAAGTATGGGGGAATAAAATGGTATCTCCACCTCAAATTCTTGCAATGCTTTTCTTTTTGTTTGTACGAATTCAAACAAAGTGACAACTAAATTGTTACATGTATGCTTATGTTGTAGGTCAAGCATTGGTTATATTCAAAACAATAGAAGCTGCAGAGAAGGTGGTTACGAAATTGCATGAAGGATGTTTGCTGCTCTCAAATGGGAGGTAAGCTTACAAATATGATAGTTAATGCTTTTGTAGTTTGACCTACTAGGCGGATTACAAAGTGTGGGTTCACATCCTACCTTTCGGATTAGTGTTAGCGTGTTACGCTTTGTATTGATGTGATACTTGACTAGGAGTGGAATCGACAAAATAGTTTTGCCGAAGGAGGGCAATGAAGTGGTGTTGACAAAATACTTTTGGTATAATAACTTTTCTGAAGGCTTTTTATGGTAGCTAGGTACTTGGATCCTTTTTTCCTTCGAGCTCTTTTTTTCATTGAGATAATTTATTTTTTGTCAAGCCTTTTAAAACTTTCAAGATAGAGCTTTTAAACTTGTGGGACTTTCTAGAGAAGTTCAAAATTTTAGTGAAATTTTTATTTTGTCAAAATATCATTTAAAATGTCATTTTTTAAATACATATATTTTCAATTATGTTGAATTATAATGTCATTGTCTAATCAATTTGAATTTAGTGTTTTCCTTTTAAATTGCAAGTTTATCCACCTCTCACAGAGCAATCTATCAACGAATTTTTTTCATTAATTATTTGCGCAAGATACAATTGTCGCATTAGTTTACATTTTTTGTTTCACTAAAACTTAGTTTATCATGGAAATTTTTTTACACTTTCTCGGTGCTTATGCTATGACTGGTTAAAAGTCTTCCTGTAATTTTATTGTAATATTAACTGCAATCAGGATGTCTACCGCCTAACTAAAAAGGAAAGTTAATAGGAGGTCTCTGTGTGGTTGATTCTCTACTGATCTTTAAACCTTTAAACCAAGATTTGGGCTCATCATTAATAAAAGCCAAAAAAGAAATGAGGAGAAAAACAACCCTTAATCCAAGATCTTCATTTATCGCTCTAAAAAAGCCCTTCCTCCCGATAATCTTGTCTAGAAGTTCTCAATTACTTTTTTTGTAAGCTTTATAAGATATAACTTAAAAGGAATGTTCTCGCATTTTTCCTTATTAGGTCTTATACCACTATTATTTTCTTTTTGAAATAACTTATACCACTATTATATGATGCGGAATGTAGGATTAACTTGCAATCCAAATTCATGCATACACAATTAACATTAAAACTTGATCCCTAAATAAACTCTTTTTACTTAATCCACAAGTAACAAATTAATTGTAGTTAAGGTAATTGAGATGAAAGAAAAGGAATTGATTAAAATGCCGCAAGAATACCTTATAAGTTGAAATCATTTCTTGATGCAACAAGGTCAAAGAAACCTCACAAGTAGCAAGCTAGCATTCAGCTACCTTATTCTTGGATAACTTTTATTTTATTGAATGATTTGCATTTTATGCAAGAATGTCTATTTATAGAGCAATGCTGCAAGAGTCCTAATAAGAAAAGGGCTCCTAATTAATGATGCTTTGTTAGGCGGCATAAGAACTTTTGATAACAAAATACTCTATGTGATAAGGACTCTTGAATTAAGATTACTCTTAGGTGATAAGGTTAAGGACTCTTAGTTAAATCCTAATGTCCACATGACATATTATGCATGATAAAGACTCTTTGTTCTTTATTCAGCTGACAATGACTTGTAGGATAAGGACTCTTTATCCTTCATGCGTTTAGGGTTGAAATTCGGCATGGTAGGATAAGAATTCTTTATCCTTCATGAGTTTGAGGTTGAAATTCAACCGTGATAAGAAGAGTGATTGACAAGGCTTGTAGAAGGGTAAGGACTCTTAGTGATCGATTTCCATAAGTTGTAGAAGAGTAAGGACTCTTAATGATTAGCTTGTAGAAGAGTTGACCGAGTGTCCATGACTTATAGGAGAGTGATTGACCGTATCTCCAATCGACTTTTTGCCACCATCTTTCAAGATTTTTCAAATTCGGCTCAAGTCTTCCTTCTTCATTGATCCTTTCGTGAATGTAAGCTTGAAAAGTTTGCTTGAGTTTCTTGGTCCATGATCTAGTGATTGGCCCACTGGGCATAATGATATTCCGCCAATATGACTCATGTGCATCTTGAATTGTGTCCATCCTATGCTCAAGTATATGTGAACGATCTTCGTTATGAGTTGTGCCTCTCCATCATTCTCCCCTTCCTAAAAAAGATTCGTCCTCGAATGAGGATTTACATAAAAAGGAAAAAGATTAGAAATATTAAAAGTAGCAGATACGACATATTCACCAGGTTAGTCTATCTTGTAAGCATTACCATTGATGCCCTCCAAGACTTGAAATGGACTATCATCCCTTGGAGCCAATTTGGATTTCCTTTGTTTAGGAAACTTAACTTTCTTCATATGAACATAAACCTAATCGGTAGGTTAAAACACCACTCTTTTTATTCTTTTGTTGGCATTTTGAGCATAAGGTTCATATCTCTTTTTTAAGATGTTGACGTGCCTTTTCATGTATTGTCTTAACTAGCTCCGGTTTCTTTTGTCCATCTAAATTAGTAATTTTATGTAATGGCAAAAGTGTGAAATCAAGAGGAGTTAGTGGAATAAAACCATACATAATTTCAAATGGTAAAAAACATGTTGAAGAATGAATATTGCGATTATAAGGAAACATGTTGAAGAATGAATATTGCGATTCTATTCACTATTTTGGTTTGATTATCGGTTTATGGATGACAAGTAGTAGAAAATGACAGTTTAGTATCAAGTTTATTCCATAAAACACGCCAGAAGTGACTAAAAAACTTTACATCTCTATCACTCACAATTATATTAGTAATGTCATGCAAGCAAACTACATCCTTAAAGAACAACTTAGTAATATTTGTTACATTATCTGTTTTATGACAAGTAATAAAATGTGTCATTTTACTAAATTTATTCACAACAATAAATATGCTATCACTTCCTTTTCTAATCCTAGGCAGCCTTAAAACAAAGTTGATTGGTATATCAATCCAATGTGCTCTAGAAATAGGCAAAAGAGTATACAAATGATGAGGTAAAAACTTAGATTTTGCTTGCCTAGACACAATACATTTAGGACAAATTCTTTCGACATCTTTTTGCATATTAGACTTGTAAAGGGTTAGGGAAGAAAATACTTAATATTTTTTTGTATTTTATTGAAATGAGAATATAGATATATATACATGTAGATTTAGAATCATCTATAGTAACCAACATAAATTATCCCATTAATTTTCTTCCTAATTATGCTAACATATTTGGAAAGATAATCATTCTATTATGTACAAAGAATATTCTATAAAATTCTAGCATTCCTTCTCAAGTTGGAGTATAAATATTAATCATGTTTAGGTTGTTTCGAAAATACTCTATCCGTGTTCTATTTAGAGGTTTGGTGAATATACCGACAAGTTGTTCTCTTATCTTCACATAAACAGTATATATAAAGTTTTTCTGAATCTTCTATAGGATTAAGTGACAATCAGTCTCAATATGTTTGGTTCTCTCATGATACACATGATTTAAGGCAATATGAAGGGCAACTTGATTATCGCACCAGAGTTTCCAGGAGCTGTGGAGCTCAAACCCACTTCATCCAAAATATGATGTATTGATAAGATTTCGCATGTTGATTGGATCATACCTCTATATTTAGACTCTGTGCTTAAGTAAGATACAACTGTTTATTTTTTACTCTTGCATGATACGAGATTCCCACCAACAAAAACACAATAACTTTTAGTAGACCTCATATCAATTTTAGATCCAATCCAATTAGCATTTGTAAAACATTCAATGTATGTCCGTGATTTCTAAACACTATACCAAGTCTCAGGTCACCTTTTAAAAAATATATTTCAGAATCTCCCAATGTTTGACTGTAAGTGCAGACATAAACTGGCTAACAACACTGATAAGGTATGCAATATCTGGGCGAGCCACAGTGAAGTAATTCAATTTCCCAACTAATTGCCTTATTTTTTTGGATCATTAAAGGAATCACCATCATCTTTTATAAGATGAACATTTGGTATCATTAGGGTATTGCATGGTTTAAGTCCAAGCTTTTCTATTTCTACCAGTAGATCAAATATATATTTTCTCTGAGATAACAGAGTCACTTCCTTACTTTTTGTTACTTCAACCCTCAATAAGTATTTTAGCTGTCCCAAGTATTTGGTATTAAATTTGGTATGCAAGAATGACTTGAGAGGAGATATTCCTGTATGGTTATTTCTTATAATCACAATATTATGAAAATAAATAGTAAAAAATATAACACTAGCTGTTGATTGTTTATAGAAGATTGAATGATCACACTTGCTTTTCTTCAATTCGAATTCATAGACTACCTTACTAAACTTGTCAAATCATACATAGGGGCTCTACTTCAAACCATATAAAGATTTTTTCAAATGACAAACTTTTTTGTATTCCCCTTAAATAACAAACTCAGGTAGTTGCTCCATATACACTTCTTATAAGAGATAATCATGAAAAAATGTATTTTTAATGTCTAGCTGGTGTAAGGGCCAATATGGGGAGGTTGCAATAGATATGAATAAACGGATAGAGGTAAGTTTGGTCACTGGAGAGAATGTATTAGTTCATCCTATAAGTTTGAACATGAGCTTTAGCTACCAGTGTAGCTTTCAGTCTCACCACAGAGTCATCTAGATTCACTTTGACTGCAAATATCTATTTGCACCCTACAAACTTTTTTCTTTTGTGTAAATCTATCAGATTCCAAGGGTGATTGTCATTAAGAGCATTTATCTCCTGAAACATGATATTATGCCAACCAGAGTGATTTATAGTCTGCTTAACTGTCTTGGATATAGAAATTGAATATATAGAAGCAATTAAAGTACTAGACGAAAGAGACAAATGGTCATCTGAGATAAAATTAGTAATGGTATAAGTTGGTGTAGGAATGATGCATTGATGTTTACTTTTACGAAGACCAATGGAAAGATCAAGGTGTTGTGACACAGAATCAGATGATTGATCGCGCGAGACATGTATTATTAGTCTGTTGTTTTCTGGAATAAACATGAACAATTGGTGGTGGTACTTGGGTTAGAGGCACACTAACACTATCATCAACTTGATCAAGTAGAGTTGAAGATACTTTATCTGGAGAAGTTCCATTATCTATTTGCTCAGTAGAACCATCTGGTGTGAAACTATAGATGAGCCACTCATTGTCCGTTCATTGACTTATAGACTTGGACAATGAGAAGAAGAACGGTGTATTATATGAAAAGAGCACGTCAATTGATATCAAATATTTATTAAAATTTGGAGAGTAGCGCCGGTATCATTTCTGAAGACAAGAAT